TCAAATTCCTCAGCAAGGTATCTGAGGGGGCCCTAGACCCAGAGAAAAATCATATATTATATGTGTTAGGCAAACACGTTACAGAAAATGGCGCCCACGTTGGGACTTGATTTGGTTGCTTGATTGAATTTTAAAAAATAAAAAGAAGTAAATTTCATATATTTCTTATGTTTCTTTATTTGTAAAGTTTCGTTGCTTTAAAAAAAAATGTCGAGCTTAGACGAAGAAATAGCTAGGTTGGAAGCCGAAATAACACGGTTGGGAAGGAAGACGCTCGAGCATTCTGAATTATCCTCGGACAATCATGGTCAGAGAACGTCTACTCCAGCTAGTATAAGAACAACCACGGCCCGTAGAAGCGACTCTGGAATAATGACTCAAAGTCCTATAGAAGATGTTAACCAAGCTTCGGCCAGAATCCAGAGTGAAGTTCTCCGTGAAACACCAAGAATTGACAATTTAGAACAAGAGCCCATTTTAAGAAGCGACACACCTATCGTTGCCAGAGAGGATGAACCAGGTGTAACTGTCAGACTACGGCGCTTTCTTGAAAATACCAAGACTGACGAAGCAAAACCAAAGGAACTGAATTCTGTAAAGAAGCCATCTAATTATATTAAACCAGCTACGTATGACGGGATTGGATCGTGGCTTGATTATAAATCACACTTTGAGGCGTGCTCTTCATTGAATGGTTGGAGTGCTAAAGAAAAAGGTCTTTATTTAGCGGTCTCTCTGAGGGGACAAGCACAGGGAGTGCTTGGGAATTTGAGTAGAGATGATGGAAGGAACTATGATGAACTGATTAAGGCGCTTGAAGATCGTTTTGCCCCTGCAAACCAGACAGAACTATACAGAGTTCAACTACGAGAACGAAGACAGAAAGCGACCGAGACGCTCCCAGAATTAGGACAGTCAATTCGGAGGCTAACACATCTTGCCTATCCTACAGCACCAAACGACGTTCAGGAGACTTTATCTAAGGAACAGTTTATCGATGCTTTGGTTGATGCAGACATGCGTCTTAGAATTAAACAAGCTAGACCCCAGAGTTTGAACGACGCTATAAGGCTAGCGGTTGAATTAGAAGCCTTTGTCAGAGCCGACTCCAGAAGATCGGAATACAAGTCACACTTGCGTGTAGTTACAGAAACCGATCACGATAATGCTCAGTTCAAATCCCAGATAAATACCGACGAGCTGACCAAAACTCTTAGAGATTTGCAAAGTTCTGTTATGGAACTTAAGACAGAAATGCGTGAAATGAAGAGTAAGTCACTTAGCTCAATGAACTGGACGGATCGCAATAACAAGAAGCCACGGCAACCCCCAAGAACAATAAAGTGCTACAATTGTCGTAAAGAAGGACACATAAGCAAACATTGTCCTTCGAAGCAGCTAAACGAAACAACAAAGAAGTTTGGCAAAAACTCTAAAGCACCGGGTCATGGTTCTGGTTCTGCTAAGACAGTTAGACCACAACGTAAGCTGCAGCCAATTGCTTACAATAGACCCAGTGAGGCTGGAATGTATCTCTCAGCTAAAATAGAAGATGTAGACACAAAAATGTTGATCGATACAGGAGCAACCGTTACGCTCATTGCAAAGAATGTCTTCGGTGAAATACAAAAGGTTCATCAAAATCTTGTTTTGGATAATATGCACCAAGACATAATGTCTGCTGAAGGTAGGCCTCTAAAACTTTTTGGCAAAGCTACCTTAAATTTAACCATTGGTTCGAGTAACTTTGTGAGAACAGTGGTGGTCGCTGATATAACAGTTGATGGAATCCTGGGTCTGGATTTCATGAATGAGCAAAATTGCACGTTGGACGTCCCAAAGAAAGTAATTTCAATAAATGGTGAACATTATTTTTTATTACTTCAAGGTATGCTAGGATGTTATCGGGTGGTGGCTTCAGAGTCATTCACTATTCCGCCAAGAAGTGAGATGATTACACGCTGTGATGTATGCATACCAGAGGGCAAGAACCTTCCTAGTGGATATGGTATTGTAGAGCCAAGGAATTGTTTGATAGATTCAAATAAAGGTTTAGTTGGCAGAACTCTGGTGAGCAATCATAATAAGGTTCCAATACGAGTCATGAATCTTTCGACCGATGCACAGACGATTTACAAGGGAACTAATATGGGACAGCTTAGCCCAGTGGTAAAGATATTAGAAGGAGAAAATAAAGATAGCAGTTTTAAGAAACCTTTTTCAAGAGAGCTGCAGGTCTTAAGTGAAAAGTCGAAAACGTGCTTAAACCAAAAACAAAAGACTGAAGTAGATAAACTGTTATCAAGATATGCTTTTCTGTTTGCTGGTTCAGATGATGGACTTGGCAGAACAAATGTTGTCAAGCATTGTATCGACACGGGAGACGCACACCCAATAAAACAGCCACCAAGACGATTACCAGTACACATGAGAGAAGAAGCAGATAGGTTGGTGGACGATATGCTTGAGAGAAATGTAATTGAACCTTCGTCTAGTCCGTGGGCCTCGGGTATCGTTTTAGTTAAGAAGAAGGATGGATCAACTCGATTTTGTATCGATTATAGGCGATTAAACGCGGTTACTTTGAAAGATGCTTACCCTCTTCCGAGAATCGACGACATGTTAGATAGTCTAAGTGGTGCTTCGTGGTTCTCTACTCTCGACTTGGCTATGGGATACTGGCAGGTGGAAATGGAGTCCAGTGACAAAATAAAGACTGCTTTTGCCACAAGAAAAGGATTATATCAATTTAAAGTGATGCCCTTCGGCTTGTGCAATGCCGGAGCGACATTTGAGAGATTGATGGAGACAGTCCTTGCAGGGTTGAATTGGGAAATATGTTTGATTTACTTGGACGATATCATCGTCATTAGTAAAACATTTGAGGGCATGGTGGAGAACCTGAGCAAAGTGTTCGACCGATTGGCAAATGCAGGGTTGAAACTGAAGACCAAGAAGTGTTCCTTGTTTTGCAAGTCGGTAGAATATCTCGGACACATAATTTCCGAGAAGGGTATTACTACGGATCCAAAGAAGATTGAGGCGATTAAGGAAATGACAGTGCCAGCCAATGTGAGTGAGCTACGTTCATTCCTGGGTATATGTAGCTACTACAGGAAGTTTGTGAAAGACTTTGCGAGCATAGCAAAACCCCTTCACAAACAGACAGAGAAAAGCAAATCCTTCGTTTGGAGTGAGGATTGCCAAAGTGCTTTCGAAAAGTTAAAAGCTACACTGACAAGTGCCCCCATCCTTGCACATCCTGACTTTAGTAAGCCGTTCATATTGGACACGGACGCAAGTAACTTTGCGATGGGAGCAGTATTATCACAAGTGCACGATGGTAAAGAACGTGTAATTGCCTTCGCCAGCAAGACTTTTACAAAGTCTGAAAGGCAGTACTGCGTGACGAGAAAAGAGTTGTTGGCAGCAGTGTATTTTACCAAGTATTTTAAGCATTACCTCTACGGACGTAAATTTATTTTGCGCACGGACCACAGCTCGCTGAGATGGTTGACCAACTTTAAAAATCCAGAGGGTCAGCTTGCTCGCTGGCTTGAAGTGCTGTACACGTATGACATAGAGATCCAACATCGACCAGGCAAGTTACACCAAAACGCTGACGCACTTAGTCGTCTTCCGTGTAAGCAATGTGGATTCCAAGTAGGCTGGGATAAGGAAAAAGAGGATCCCAAAGTAAGAACTGCAACAGTCGACGCCCCAGTTATTCAAGAATCTTATCTTCATAGGGTCCAAAGAGAAGATAAAGAAATTGTTCTTGTAAAACGTTGGATGGATCAGGAAAAGAAACCATCATTTAGAGAAGTTGCCAGTCAAAGTGCATTTCTACGTTCTCTATGGTCACAGCTAAGTTTACTTACCATTCAGGACAATTTACTTTATCGAAAGACCATAGACCAAGAGACAAAGACGGAAAAGTTCCAGATAATTGTGCCTATGTCTGAGAGAAGGCATATTCTAAAGGAATACCACGACAAACGTACTGCAGGTCACCTAGGTATAAACAAGACCATCGCCAAGATAAGAAGTCAATTTTATTGGCCAGGGCTTAACAAAGATGTTCGTCGGTATATAAATGGATGTGACATCTGTGCCAGAAGAAAGCCATCATTTACTAGCCAGAAAGCGCCGATGCAAATTGTTCAGAATGGATTCCCCATGGATAGAATAGCAACAGATATTATGGGGGAACTGCCATTGACAGAATCTGGAAACAGATACATACTGGTAGTTTCAGATTATTTTACTCGCTGGACTGAATGTTTTCCGATGCCAAATATGGAATCAAAAACTGTGGCAAAGATTCTGGTTGAACAGGTCATCACTAGATTCGGAGTACCCTATACAATACACTCAGATCAAGGCCGTCAATACGAGAGTGATTTGTTCCATTCGGTTTGCGAGCTATTGCAAATTGAAAAGACTCGCACTACACCCTACCATCCGCAGTCGGATGGTATGGTGGAAAGGTTTAATCGAACTCTAGAAGCCATGTTAAGTTCCTGCGTGAACAAAAATCATACAGATTGGGACGAACAGTTGCCGTATGTCATGATGGCATATAGGTCAGCGGAGCATGACACAACTGGCTTCTCTCCAAACTACCTCATGCTTGGTAGAGAAGCGACAACACCTCTAGACCTCGTATACGAAATGGAGGTACAGCGAAAGCCACTTCCACAGAATAGATGGGCCTGGTTGCTTCAAGAGAGACTGGAGGAAGCACACCGTATTGTGAGAGAAAATACTAGAGGGGAAATGATGCGTCAAAAACGCTTCCATGACAAGAAGTTACTATGGCAGAGATTCTCCCTCGAGACCACGTTTACGTATTCTTTCCTCGCAGACGTATGGGTACTTCGCCGAAGTTAACAAGCTTTTGGCAAGGACCTTTCGAAGTCCTAGAAAAATGTTCAGAATTTACGTACAAAGTATCTTGTGGAAGTAAAGGGTCGCCACAAGTGATACATGTAGACAGAATGAGATTGGTTAAACCTCAGATTCTGTCTGGTGAGGTAGAACTAAGTGATTCTGGTGATGTCGACCAGAATGAAAGTATCACGTTACAACAAGATGAGTCTGAAGAGTTAGGCATTGATAGAGAGGGTGTTAATGATCCTGTGATCGATCAGAAGCCCCAAAGATCTAGTAGAAGCAGACGGGCTCCTGCTTATTTATCAGATTATGTAGTAGATCTTTGCTAGACAGGTTATTTATGTTGCTTTAATATTTTTATATTAAAGATGACAAAGATTCAAGAGAATTTGAATGAGCTTTAACCCATTTTTTTTTGTTTGTTTGTTGTAGATTACAGATATGCCTGATATAAAGTTTACCAAAGCTAAACAGCCTGACTGTCCTTTTTGTGACAAAGCCATTGATGAGCCATGGCAGGACCACGTTATTTTATGCTCAGGACAGAGATTTAAATGTGTAACTTGTGGAGCCAGGTTCAAGAAGAACAGCTACCTTGTGAAACACATGAAAGTTCATAACGGTTCAGCAACTGTTCCACCCCCTGCTAAGAAGCAAAAGCCGAGCACGATTACAAAAGCAGCTGATGTTGTAGTTGGTGAAGATATTCCAGCAGCGAATCCTGGTAGTGACCATATGGAGAAGGAGTCTAACCAGAGTGATTGGGAATGTCAGGATCCTGGAGAATTGTTAGATGTGTTGGGTCCATGTAGCTCTAGTGATGAAGAAGACTCTAGGGAAACTGAAGAAATAGAGAAGGCACCTGAGGACCTAGAGATAGGACGAATCATTCGGAAGAGAACTCAGCCAGTTCTCTATACAGGTTCCCAGATGAAGAGCAAAGAGATTCATCAGTCAGAACCGGTGGTGCATGAATTGGAGAAGTCTGCAAAGAAATCCACCGTGAACGCGACTACACAGACCGAGCCAACCCTTTATGTGTACTCCACTAAAACCATAACCACCAAGTGGGAGAATGGGGTTAAGATCAAAGTCGTTGAAAGAAAGAAGAGCTATAATATGAGTTAGACAATCGATAGACTCACGAATTGTTAAGTGACTGGTTATTGATGTAATATATGTATATACAGTTTACCTTGTCAAAGGAATTGACAGTATTTGAATCATTGTAAATAAGAAAAATTGTCTATTATATGCCTCTTTGTTTTATTTTCCTGTGCAAGCGAGGACGCTTGAATCTGAGGCGTGGGTAATGTAACGGAAATATACAATTAAGGGAAGGAGACAGGGCGTTCCGAAGGGACCCTGAGCTCGTAAAACGCCGAGTTCCCAGACATTCCGAGTGGGTATGTCACGTGATATACTCATAGTATATATAAGGCGTCGAGACTCGATAAAGTCAGTTTCTGCTACAGTTACTGATAGAGTGCCAGCGGAGAAGTGCGGTATTATCAAAGAAATAGACAACAGCGGTAAGTCTGTTCATAAGTCATTATTGCTTTGCGATGTGCAGAACAGAGTTTACCTAGTATGTAACAGTCTACGTGAGCGTTGCATAAGAAGACAGTCCGTATACAGGTAGAAGTAACCTGTCGCTTCTGGGAGAAGCGACGTGCTGGCGCTTTAGTTGTCACTTTGGGCGCTTCTAGAAGTCGCTTCGAGATAGAAGCCCAACTGATTAAGAGGCGGTTTAATTGATTATTTCGTTTATTTGTGTGCTAGGGAAGCACCCGATATCTGTATATTTTGCATATGTAAATAAGTTTTAGTCAACAATCAAATTCCTCAGCAAGGTATCTGAGGGGGCCCTAGACCCAGAGAAAAATCATATGTGTTAGGCAAACACGTTACACTATTTCATGGCTGTTTTCAGAAAATTGAAGTAGACTTTTAATTTTATGTACGATACTTACTATCCGAATGAAATCTTAATATACTTTACGGACATCAGCTTGTATGTAGTGTAGTATTAGATGGGTAAATAAGAAGTCTTGTGCATCCGTATCGGAGTTTATTTGCCAAATTTATTAATTTATAAGTATAGATGACAACACCGTTCATCGAAATCAAAAACGATGCACTTAATTATGTATCACATTGAAGTCTACTTGTGTGTCCAGTTATATTGAAATCAAACTAAAACTGTAGGAGGAGTAACATTTTTAGGGAATTATATACAGAAATTTCTATTTTTAGTAACCATGGCAACACCGTTCATTGAAATCAAAAACGGATGCACGATATTTTGTATCTTAGTGAAGGCTACTTATGTGCCAAGCAATATTGAATTCAGACAAAAACTGTTGAAGAAGTCCCATTTTAAAGCATTCAAAAACCGATGCACTATACTATGTATCGTAGAGATGTGTACTTATGTGCCAAGTTATATTGAAATCAGACCAAAACGGTATGAAGAGTAGTATTTTGAAAAATAGACAGACAGACAGCTAGACAGACGAACAGGCGAACGGACGGCAGACACTTTACTATCGCATCCCACAGACAGGTTGGACAGATATTTATATATCGAAAATAACCAAATTGAATAAAGACATCATTTTTAAAGCATTAAATCGTAGCAAAAAAGAAAATATCAATGGATGCGACACTTTTCAGACAAGGGCTATGAACCTCTCGCTATGAACCTCTCATAAATACGGTACACATGTATCAAATCATTGCACGTCGGTAATCTAAAATGACACATATTTTTTTTTCTTTGTATAACTTAACCCCCCCCCCCCCTAATTTCTTTAAAAATGTTTGTACAATCAAGAAAATCGGTTACTTTTCATAAAGACTACGACGTTTCTTTCATTTTCAAGAACCGTATAATAGCGAGTGCAGCGAGCTCAATAGAATAACGTGTAAGAAAAGAAGTTCGGAATTGTACAGATGTCAAGCAAATTTTGTTGTGCAACATTCCCAAAGCTCCTTTACTACCCAATGTCCTTTGCGCGAATAAATAAACAAATAATAACACAAGTAACAGCTTTTTAAAAAGCTTGGCTGACTATGTCATCAATATCTATAGAATCTATGAGCATGATAAACTTTAAACGTTTACATTTGGGGGGGGGGGGTAAATTATTTCACTGGAGTAAATTATGGAGATGTTGCACAAAACATAAACCATATATAATACTAGTAATGTTTGTATCTCAAATAAAAAATGAAATCATGATCATGTCCCGTTGTAGATTCGAACCCGGGACAAAAGATGAACACCTCTGTCCGCAAGTCTAAAATGGTTTTAGAGGATGACGTAAATAAGGAAAAACATTTGATTAATGCTTGAAAGCATGGCTACATATAAAGGTGGCAGCTGAAAATATGATAACTACAAGAAATTGGGGATCTAACAATTATGACTGACGTATAGAATATGATTGATAGTTTCTTGGGTATGCCAAAGTATCAAAGATTGTTGGAAACATGGGAAAAATAATTAAAGCTTTAAATGACCCAACAAACTTGACGGCGATATATGAATGCCAAACATCATATGTTTTATTACTTTAAATGATGTAACTTCTAACTCACTTCACAATGTCACCGAATTGTTTGTTTGTTTTTTTTCCAAAGCTCGACCAGGATTCTGACAAAAAAGAACAGACTTTACATAATTCATGCAGTTTTCATTTTCATTCAATAGAATAGTCCAGAAAAAGGGTGCAAAAACCTACACGTGACATTTTGGCGCGAAATAATAGCGTCACCCCTTACCTAGAAGACAAATGGACTAATCCAGTAGTATAGAAACGCAGAAAAAAAGGTCAAACGGACATATATCCGTATAAGAACTCGCATGAAATTAATATATGCTAGCTAAAGGCTAGAGAAAATAAATACTTCAATGTATTGTATTAGCAATATGTTTATTTTTCTGCTAACAGAATAGATAACTGTCGTTGCTGAAATGCATGTAACAAATCCGATGATAATCAGCATGCACAAAATTTTGCTGGCCAACTGTGACCTCTTCGAACCCTATTGATCCTTAGCGTGACGTCAGGCAATAAAAGGCTTGAGTTTGAAGAAATATTTCAAAAACTTTTCGGCAATAAATATACAGTTATTACTAGCTTACTCTAAAGTCTTCTATCGTACATATGTACACTGTAAAAACTGCGTTAGAAAAATAAACACATCCATTACGTGTTTAGACCTAAACATGTTTAAGATTGTGTTTAACGGCTAAACACTTATGTCTAAACATGTATTATATCTAAACGTGTTTAGACTTAAGATGTGTTGAGATTTAAGTTTTTAGAAATTGAACACTTTCTGTGACAAACAGAGTTATCTTCCCGGAAATGACGCGTAATATTTTTGAACGTTAATAGAGCGGTTATCGAAACAAAGAAAATTCCGGTGTAAGCAAAAGAAGATGGATTAAAGGAAGCGAATCATAATCAAAGTGATAACCAGGAAGGGATTGTGGAATGCAGTTGAAAGTCAACAATACTACAATAAAAGGTCTGTTTAC